TTTCGAAGGACGACAAAGGGGCTGAGAACGGCATAAAGGAACTTGTTGAAAACGAGATAAATATCTCGGATAAGCAAAGCATTGCTGAGATACTAAACTCGTTTTTTGTTGATCAACCGAAGAAACTGGTTGCTGCACTTGGGCTTGGCTCGCTGACTGACCCCCCAACGATGACTTCTATCAGTCAAGGCAATAGTGCTTTTGACCTTCCAAGAATAACTCAGAAGAGAGTTGTAGAGTTACTGTTATCTATCCCAACCCATAAGGCCACCGGAGATGACGGCATCAGCGCCAAAATACTAAGAATTGCAGCTCCAGCAATTGCTCCATCGCTGACGAAGTTACTGAACCACTGCCTGTCTACACAGATCTTCCCTAATGCCTGGAAGATCGCAAAAGTTACCCCTGTTTTTAAAGGAAACGGCAGTAGGAATGAAAAGAATAACTATAGACCGATCTCTGTGCTCCCTATTCTTTCGAAAGTGCTGGAGAAACACATCTGTGAATACCTAGTTAACTTCTTGAAAGAGAATGACTTATTCCACCCTCTCCAGTCAGGGTTTAGAGAATCGCACTCCACTGAAACTGCGCTTATTCGATTGGTAGACCAGTTACTGTTTAACCTTGACAATGATAAAGCCACTGGACTTGTTTTTATTGACTACAAGAAGGCGTTTGACCTGATTGACCATAACCTACTATTGTCAAAATTGAAGGCTCTTGGAGTGGGTGAGAGCAGTCTACCCCTGTTCCGTGACTATCTGAGTGGCAGACGCCAGTATGTGAATATAGACGGACACCATTCTACCCAAAGGGCCTTAACATTGGGAGTCCCACAAGGCAGCATATTAGGTCCAATCTTGTTCCTTGTTTTTATTAATGATCTACCTGCAACACTTCAGCACTCCGTGGCTGATATTTATGCTGACGACACAACTATTAGCTACTCCACCCATTATACGACGGCTCCTAATGATATCTCGGTCGGCCTTCAGACGGATATTGATGAAATCTTGAATTGGTCAGCTGACAACAGAATGATCCTTAATGAAACCAAAACCAAATCTATGCTTGTCACTGGTAAACGGTTAGCCAAGAAAATGGAACAGTCCACCCTGCAGTTAAACGTTAATTCTACTGAACTTGAACAAGTGAACTCGCATAAACTATTAGGTGTCACGATTGACAGCCAGCTTACTTTCGACCAACATGTCGAAAATCTATGCACGAAGTTATCGCAGAGAATTGCCGTGCTGCGAAAAATAAGACGCTTTTTGCCCATTGATCAAAGGAAACTTTATTATAATGCTATGATCAAGCAGACAATGCTTTATGCATCAACCATATGGACATCTTGTTCTGCTGAGAATTTGCAGAAAGTCTTTAAACTTCAGAAACGCGCGGCACGTGTAATTCTCGGAGCTGACACTAAAGCGAATAGCGTACAACTGTTTAGGAAATTGGATTGGGTTCCATTCTTTCATGAGGCAAAAGTAAATAGGTCACTAATGGTGTACAAACGATTGTCTGGGGACTGTCCACCTTATATGTCCCAAATGCTCGTAAGAAATGCAGACATAAATGAAAGATCAAGCAGACATGGACAACTAAACCTCGTCTGTCCCCGATTCAAACGGGAGTCAGAGGGAGGTAGGTCTTTCACAGTATCGACCTCACGCCTCTGGAATACCTTACCACTGGACATAAGAATGAAACCTACTATCAAATGTTTTAAGAAGGCCATGTTAGATTTTTTTAAGAATAGTTATAAACGATTAGAACATTTTATCTTATAGTTTTTATAAACTTTGTAATTTTAGATTTTTAGCTCTTGATCTTTTTCCATAATTAATTAGTTTTTAATCTTTTTCAATAATTATTTGTAATATATTTTAAGAGGGCCACTGGTTTGTCAGTTTTATACTGTTATGTGTTTTACCCTCTTTAAATAAAGTTGATTGTTATTATTATTATTATTATTATTATTATTGTTATTAGTGAAAAGTGATATCCTAACATTTTTATCAGAAAAAGAAACTTAGAAAATGTTATGATAAAACACAAGAAAAAGGAAATAAGACCCATTATAGTAAGGCTCAAGTGGGGAAACGAGATATATTGCATCTAACAAATGCTTTTCCCATCACCTTCTTTCCAACCTAACTGAATCAATACATGCCCACTTAATGTAATAATTATGTTCCCGAAAATAGCTAGTGAATTGGTACTTATGAAGCCATATCATTTCCAGTGCCAAAATTTAAAGAGCTCAGAGCACATGTTAAGCTCAGACTTAAGGCTTCCTTCGTATGTAAAGAAAGGAAAACCTACTTGCTCACATGATGAAACATAAATATTTAAAGATGAAACAAAAACAACAACGAAACAAAATGAAATGAAAAAAAAAAAAAAAAACAGAATCAGGGTATGAAAGGTATGAAAGGGATGTCAATATCGCTCGTCGAATGTTTTTCAAGAGTTATGAATACCTGGCTTTCAGGCTGCATCGCGAACATGTTTTGATCAACGTATATTAAACAGTACTTGCAAATAATCGTAAGTCATTATATTGTTATCAATATATTCGCAGCTGATATTTAGAGTTTTTTGGTGTTTTTGGACCCAAAAAAGGTATGTTAACGCCCCATCCAAAGCATATAAATTGAGTCATTTGGATCCCCAACTGCTATCGGCGCAGAAGACTTCGCGATGAACAAGCTTCTGATGATAGCCCTTTTTAGCTTGGTGTTTGCGACAAGCTTGACGCTTTCGTATGATGATGAAGATGATGATGAATACGAAAGGGAATTTACTGCCTTAAAGGACGCCAGAAATGATTTGGAAAGGTATCATAATAAGCATTTTATTTTTTTCCCTAACGACTAGGGATTCATTTATACACCTAATAAATTCGAAATATTGATTCGAAAAGCTAAATGTTATTCAATCTATTTGACCAATTTGGCTTCGACTGTAATAGTGAGGACGTGGACGTAGACGGTGATAAACCATATGAGGAGAGGAAAAAGGAGGATGGTTACGTTGTTGGAGTCAAAGATGAACGCCCCTTGTCCGGCCCAATGCAGAAGTCAGCTGATCCAATCCTACCTGCTTTAGGGCTCCGACTAGTGGGCCGAGCTATTTTTCGCCGTCGTCGCCGAAGACGTCGTCGAAGAAGAAGATGGGGTTAATGCATTTACACCAGATGAAAGGACATTCCGTGGCTTAAAGAGGTGAGAGAATCAAGTGTAAGCGTTCGTTTTAAGATAGTATAAGTCAGAATATGGGTGAGTTTAACACTTCACTAAGTTCTTAGTTATATATAAGTGAATGAGCCCGCCAAAGTAATCGTCCAAAATTCCTGTTGTGAGTCTTTTCCTAACAAGGAAGCTTTGTTTCATAAGTTACCTAAGTTTTTAGATCCAGAGAATTTTAACTGCGAAATTAGGATAAGAAATGATCACTTCTTTCGTTAACTAAACAATTGTCACTTGCATTAGATAAACACCTGAAGGATTTTTTTTCGCTTTTAACCTGCTTTACATGTTGGCTATTAACCTACTAGAAAGCTCAGAATCGTTCATTTTTTCAAAGATTAAAAGAAATAGTACCTCCCTTGTATATACTTGGGGGAAACATTGTTTAACACCTGGGATTTTTATCTTGCAGGCTTGAAAAGGACACTCTAATCTGAAGAAATAAAACGCTTCTTATTGTTATCGCTGCATTCATTCGCATTGGTATGAATGCGCTTTAAAGGCATAACAAGTGGATTGGAAGCTTTTACATGCATTTCAATTATGACGGTCTTTGATTTCAATAAAAAGAAATGTCTAACGACTGCCTCATGTTGTTTGTGACGTATTTAGTACACCTCAATCTTCCTTAATAACAAAAGATATAAACAACTCCGAAAACTACCAAATCAGTTGAATTTCAAGACTCTTACATCATTCCCAAATGGTTTTGATTGCAAGACAAATGTTTCTTTGTTTTTTACTTTTTTTTTGAAAATTTAAGGTACTTTATTGTAAACTTCACTTGCTTTTTTAAAATGTCCTTTTTTTTATGAAAAAAATAGGTGCTCATCCTGACATAATCCATAACAAGGCCAACCACACTATCGATTGGTACTCTTACGGCGTTCATTCTTCTAGAGAAGTCAACAAATAACGAGGACACCATGTCTTATTTAAGAGATAGATGAGGCAAAAGAAAGGTGCACATGCACCTAACTTTACGCACTGACCTATTATTCTTGGGGCAATTACATCCCAGCACTGTCACTATCGTCGTCAGCGTCACTGTTATGGCCACTTAAAGAAATATTGACCGTTATTGCTTCCTTTGACTTCGTTGCCCGAATAGCAAAACCTCTTAATTTTATTTTTTTTAAACGTCATAGTTATTTTGAAGCTTGATTCGAACTGCTAATGGCAAAAACTATTGACTAAAAAGTTACTGCCAGATACATGTGCCAAAAAATTATTCCACGCCGCTTGGAGCTGGAGGACAATGCCTTCTTCACTGGTGAAACTAGAAATTTGAAATAAGCATTGTGTACGTTACATTCAAACGTCTACCACCAAACTCTGTAGACGATTTGTTTTTTATTTCGATGTCATACACACCAAATTTGGAGGAAATCGGAAGTAACGCAATATTATTTCGAGCCGACGGAAGTCATACGTATAATTACACATATGAAATGCAAGGGCTGCAGGAGTAGGGTTTTAATCATTATTATCATTATTGTGCATTATTATATGGCTGTCTCACAAGGACTGGGAACTACCGAATTCACGAATTTGATTGGCTGAAATCAATATTGAAAGCGGTCTAGATTTTCCCATCTAGACCGGCATCTAGACCGGTCTAGAAAAAAAAGTTACAAAGAATATAAAAAATTGGCATAAAAGACACAGTCATGTAACAAACATCTTATTAACCGAGCTAGGTTGGTTTGTATGGGAAAATCTTGACCTCGGTCACTGGTACAGACCTCACTGCGTTCAATCTGTACTGGCGACCTCGGTCAAGATTCTCCCATACAGACCTCCCACACGGTTAAAAAGAACTAATTATTGCATTGTTTAAGTTTTCCGCGCCCCATTACTTCGTTAACTAACTGATGACTTGGGGTGCAGGAGAAAGATGGCTTTTTTTCCTCCGATGCACCGCCATGCCTCACCGGAACACCTCTAGCTACTGTAGACCAAGAGACACTGCACCTATCCACGTCACTTTTTCATGATATTTTAGAGGAATCAGCTTCGATCATTTGATACCCCCT